CGTGGGTCCTCTGCCATCTCTCCACTCCCTGGAGTTTTTTGAGACAGGACTTCTACACCGTAGCCCAGGCTAGTCTGGAATAAGTAGTGATCCTCCTGCCTCAGCTTCCCTTACAGGGGTGTGGTACCACTATGCTTGCTCTGTTTTACTTTCATTGATAAAGGGACTTTCTTAGAACCCTTGGTGGCCTGGAATTCAGTGTGGAACCCAGGCTGGTCTTGAACTCATGACAATTCTGCCTGAATTTTCTTGGTGCTGGGATTATGAGTGTGTACTACTGTATCTGGCTTATCTGAGAAAGGAGCCTGGACTAATTTTTTATCTCATCCTCATGACCATCTCGTGGTTTTTTTTTTAAAATATTTATTTATTTATTATGTATACAATATTCTGTCTGTATGCAGGCCAGAAGAGGGCACCAAACCCCATTACAGATGGTTGTGAGCCACCATGTGGTTGCTGGGAATTGAACTCAGGACCTTTGGAAGAGGAGGCAATGCTCTTAACCTCTGAGCCATCTCTCCAGCCCCCATGTCGTGGTTTTGAAAGGGTTATGTAGTTCAGGCTGGCCTAGAACCCATTCGATAGCCCACTATGCCCTCAATTCACTCTTTCTGCCTTGGCCTCCCAGATGCTGCAATTATGAACTCACATCACCACACCTGGTTACTTTCTTGTTTGTTTGTTTATTGAGAGCTAATCTCCTGTGTTGAGATTACAGACTTGTAACACCAAACCTGGTTCATGCCACTGCTGGGAGTGGAACTCAGGTTCTTATGCTCGGTAGGTAGTCAGGCTTCCTGCCAACTAAGCCACAGCCCAACTATTTTATTATTATTATTATTATTTCTTCTTCCTCCTCCTCCTTCCTTCTGAGACAAGCTCTCACAATGTGGATCATGTTGGCTTTGAACTCAGAGATACCACTATCTCTTCCTCCCGAGTGTTGGGATAAAAAGGCGTGTACCAATATGTGTACCATATTTTGTGAAATAAAGAAATGGGCTTGTGAGGCAGTGGTGGCACATGCCTGAGTTCAAAGTCAGCCTGGTCTACAGAGCCAGTTCCAGAACAGCCAGGGCTACACAGAGAAACCCTGTCTCAAAAAAAAAAGGGGGGTGGCAGTCATTTGGGTTACAAGGCTGCCTTGCCTATCTCTCCTTAGTTCTGTGAACAAGCAAAGAGGAGGAACGTTGGCAGACTTGGGGCCTACACTTGGCAAGGGCTGACTCCTTTCTCCTAGGCAGGTAAGTGAGACTGGGTGCACTTCCCTGCCCATGGTTGAAAGGAGGGAGTAGGGCCCAAGGCTCACCGTCACTCTCTATGGGCGTCCCGTGCACGTGGTCAGTAGAGAAGATATGCACGTCCATCAGCTCGGGGGAACCCACAAACTCAAATGATATGTGGCCCACCTTGTGCAGCGCATCCACTGTCAGGCCACTCTCTTCCTGCAGCTCCCTGCAGCAGATGGGTAAGGAAGAAGTGGCATTAGCTCATGAGCATCCCTGCTTACAAGGAACAAGGCCATAGACCCATAGGCCGCATATTCTAGGAGGACATCATGTAGAGGTGTTACTATATCCAATTTAGGAATTAAACTACATAAGGCATGGTATTGAACACCTATAATCCCAGCACTCAGGAAGCTGAAGCAGGAAGATTTGGTCAACTGGAATATGTAGAAAGATACTTTAAAAAATTTAAAAGCTGGGCATAGTGGTATACAACATTAATCCCAGCACTCTGGAAGTAAAGATCCAGCAGGTGGATCTCTGTGAGTTCAAGGCCAGCCTGGTTTCAAGGGTATGTTTCCTCCTCTCCAGGTCTTCAACCCCTGCCAAGCTGGCTCTGTGGTCAGACCTCCCCTTTCCTTACCTCTTAGCCCCATCCTCAATGGTCTCTCCTTCCTGGACTTTGCCTCCAAAGCCATTCCAGCGGCCAGCACCAAAGCCTCTCTTCTTCATTCCTAGGAGAACTCGCTGAGGCTGAAGCACCAGCACTAGGGTGTAGAGCCTGGAGGTAGCCATGGTCTCCTGGGTCCTGTGAAGAGGGTCAGAAAACTGGGTCTGCTTGGCTTGTGATCTGTTAGGGTACGCATCAAATGTGGGCAGTAGTGAGTGGTGGCCAGGTGGGAGGGAGATGTTTGTGGGAGAGGTGGAGAATGAGGCTGACTGGTAATTCCCCAGCCACAACGAAAAGTCCCTGTGGCTTCCAGGGCAGGTGATGGGAAATATGTCTTTGAGCCCTCCCTTCCCCATTTTTTTTTTTTCAGTGCAGGGAATGGAACTCAAAACTTTGAGCATGCTAGGCAGGTACTCTACCGCTGAGCCACACCCCAGCCCCTCACTGGGGGATTCTAGGCAGGTGCTCTACCGCTGAGCCACACTCCAGCCCCTCACTAGGAGATTCTCGGCAGGTGTTCTACCACTGAGCCATTTTCCTAACTCCCTGGGCTAAAGTTCTTGTTGCTCTATCCTTTCCTTGGCCTCAACTGGCTAAAGCAGTATCCAGAAATGGGGACCCTCCTAAGAGGTTACAGTGTATAAGGGACCTGAATGAGGGCTAGAGAAATGTCATTGGTTGTGAGCGTCTGCTGCTCTTTCAGAGCACTGGGATTCCATTCTTAGTATCCATGGTGGCTCACAGAGGTCTAACTCCAATTCTGATGGCCTCTTCTGGCACCAGGCACAAATGTAGTGCACAGATATAAATGTACATAAAATGCCTATATTCATACAATATAGGTTAACTTAAAAACATAAGATTGGCAGTGGTGGCACATGCCTTTACTCACAGCACTCTGGAGGCAGGAGGCAGAGGTTAAGCAGATATCTGAGTTTGAGGCCAGTCTGGTCTACAGACGGAGTTCCAGGATAGCCAAGGATACATACGCAGAGAAACCCTGTCTCAAACAAAACAAAAACAAACAATACAACTTAAAAAGAGAAAAAAGAAGAGGGAAACTTGGTCCTGGTGATGAGGGTGGTCAGCGGAAGAAGTAAGTGTGTTTGGCATTGGCCCGTGTCCCTTTCCTGACACTGACTTGCCCATGCCCGAGGTCCTGGCTTCCTAACACAGCCATCTCTCTTATATGTACCAGCTATATACAGCTGTTTTTCCATATACACAGGTGACTGATACCAGGAGACCCCTACCTGGCCATGGATACCAGAATCAAAGCATGGTAAAATGGCTTCTATGAAACGGCATATTTGCATATAACCAACACGTATCCTCTAGTTCACTTTAATGCAACGTAAACACTGTGTAAATAATTTTCACGCAGTGAGTCATGACAGATGGCCACACATTCAGGAGATGAGTGACTTGTTTGCAAGGATGTTCAATGAGACAGAGTCATGCTATGTAGCCCAGTTTGGACTTGGATTCCCAACCTTCCTGCCTCAACAACCCGAGTGCTGGGAGGACAGGCATACGCGAGCACGCTCAGCTACCTGTCTCGATGAAGCTAGCTGGTAGGACAAAGATGATTGGAGTCTATATAATCGGAATCTAGTAGAATGGGCTTGGCCATGGCTCTGTTGGTTGACATTGTTTCAAACATAGACTCCCCACATTGTTTTCCCCTCTGTAAATGGAAATATCTCACGGTTGTTAGGTTTATTAAGTGAGATAGTTCTACCAAACAAGGTTAATTGGGGTTGGAGAATATTTTTGATTCGCTGGTTGAATTGGTCTAATACTGAGCCCACAGATAGAGATGGCTGATTGGCCTTTTGTGTGTCCCTGCCTCTGTGTGAAGATCACAGTTGACAATGGGTTGCTTTCGGCCTAACTTTTTCTTTTTTTTTTTTTTGGTTTTTCGAGACAGGGTTTCTCTGTGGCTTGGGAGCCTGTCCTGGAACTAGCTCTGTAGATCAGACTGGTCTCGAACTCACAGAGATCCGCCTGCCTCTGCCTCCCGAGTGCTGGGATTAAAGGTGTGCGCCACCATCGCCCAGCCGGCCTAACTTGTTCATATTAAAAAAGATTTAATTCATGTGTATGAGAATTTGTCTGCATGCATGTCTGTGCACTGTGTGCATTCAGTGCCCACAGAGGTCAGAAGAGGGCACTGGCTCCCCTGGAACTGAAGTTATAGATGCTGGTGAGCCACCATGTGGGTGCTGTGAACTTGACGGGTCTCTCATTGGAACCCGTAGTTCACGCAGTCAGCAAGACTAGCTGACCAGACTGCTCCAAGGACCCCACTTCTCTGCCTCCCAGCATTGGGATTACAGGTGCAAGCCACACTGGCTATGAAAACGCCTCATGCATGTGAAGCAAGCATTTCACAGGTATCTATCACTCCAGCCCCAATTAACCTTGTTTTCAAAAGCTGTTCCATTTAGTAAGTCTCAGAACTGTGTAAGACTTTCACATTTTCTGAAAAGACAACATGCGCAGGGTCTAAATTTGGAAAGAGGTCAAACGGCCGAGCCTATAAGGAAACTAGGCTGTCCTGGACGACAGTTTAGTGTTCCCTCAGCTCAGACAGCTGTGATCTGGTAAATCGGATGCGTCTCGGAGCTTTCATATGCTAGAGGCTGAGGTGGTGACAACTATCTTGTCTGAATTGTCAACTGTGGCAGGTGTTGGAGGCAATGCATAAGGAGTGCAGAACTTAGACCTGCCTGCAGGGGGCACTCTGCAAATGCTCTTCCCTAGCCTCCACTTCCTGGGGCTAAGCCTTTGCAACTTGGCTGTAAACTACCTCTGCACCAGTTTACCGCCCAAGCCCCAGGTCCCAAGTTCCCTTTCCCTCTGATTTCTGCTCCCTACCGTCTGTAGTTCCCCTGTTCTCCCCGACTTCAGGTCTATCCAGCACCCCAGTCTTCCTGGCTGGCTTGAAGCATCTCCCCAGTCCTTGCTCCCTCTTCCCTCCCCAGATCTCCGTCGGCACCCCAGCACCACCACGATCTCCCGCGTCTCTCCCTCATTCAGTTCCCACGCAGTGAGAATCATCCGTACCTTCGCGCCCAAGCTACAGCTTCCTGGGACGGGGCTCAGGCTGGAAGAAAGGGCGGGACTTCCGGCGGCGGGGAGGAAACCGCCAGCAAGCGCCCATGGCTTGGTGAGTGGAGTTACGGTGTCCTCCTGCACTAAAAGGGTGCCTGCTGCCTGCGTGCGTGCGTGGAGTGGATGACGGTAGTTGGGGGCTCAGTGTCTCAGGCCTCAGAGGGGCGCTCGCAGCCTCTGTCCCGGCATGCGAGTCGCGTGTTCACGATGTTTGTTCATGTACAGACGTGAGTGAGTGAGGATTTCTGCGTGGAAATAAGTGGAAAGGCTGACGACATGGTTCAGCGGATAAAGCTGTGCATTCATGAGGACTGGAGTTTGGATGCCCGGAACCCACAGAATGCTGGGCTTGTGTGTTGACCAGATGTGACGCCAGTGCTAGGGAGACAGAGACGGGCCCCTGGAGCAAGCTGACAAGCTAGACTGGCTGGTTGGCGACTTTATCTCAATATGTAAGATAGGGAGCAAACCAGAAGGACATCCCTTGTCAACTTTGGGTTCTCATAGACTCGCAGACACATGCGCACACGCGTACTAATACACATGCCTGCATACCGCACATACATATGCAAAAATAAAAAATAGGTTGAACCAGGACCTCCTACCTGCATCTCTGTAATGTCCACCTGCTAACTCCTTTCTCGCCAACAGGTACCCGAAGCTTGTAGGCGTTCCCCTTAAGGCTCAGAGATTCCACACAGCTGCGTGTCGCTACAAAGCTCGGACGGGTCCCGAGCACCTGTGGCTGAAGCGCCATCTAAGGGACCCGTTTGTGAAGGCTGCAAAGGTGGAGAGTTACCGCTGCCGCAGCGCCTTCAAGCTCCTGGAGATGAATGAGAAGCATCATATCTTGCGACCTGGCCTCCGGGTGCTGGACTGCGGGGCGGCTCCGGGAGCCTGGAGTCAGGTTGCGGTGCAGAGAGTCAATGCCACAGGCGCAGGTGGGGTGTGCATGTCACTAGGCACTACCAGCTCCTCTGGCTGTCGTGAGTTGGAGGGAATGATAGCAGCTCTTTATTCAGAGACATTGTCTGAACAGCTTTCTAAGTTGGCTTAGAGATGATAGTTATTGAAATGGGACACAGGCTGGGGATGGCGCTCAGCGGCTAAGTTAAGCAGGTGTGCTGGTGCAGGCCTATGATCGTAACATTTGGGAGGTGAAGGCAGGAGGATTAGAAATGTAAGATCATCCCAGCTACACAGTAGGTTTGGAGTTCAGGACCGGAGATCCCGTCTTGGGGGGTGGGGTGGGGACGGGAGATGGGGGGCGGGGGACATCGACAGGCAAGTGTGGGGGGGAGGGCGGGGCAGGGGTGGGAATGATGTTGGTGTTGTGGAGATGGCTTATTCAGCAGTGGTTCTCAACATGTGGGTTGCGACCCCTTCAGAGTCCCTTACTTATTTACATTACTATTCATGGCAGTAGCAAAATTATAGTGATAAAGTAGCAACAAAATAATTTTACGGTTAGGAGTCACCACACCATGAGGAACTGTATTAAAGGGTCACAGCTTAGTGGATAAAAGGTGCTTGCTGCTAAGTCTGATGGCCTAAGTTCTCTCCCCAAGACCTACATGGTGAGGGGAGAACTGATATTCGAAAGTTGGTCTTTGGCTTCACAAGTGTGCATGGCGCATGCCCACTTGCATACACTCACACACACGGTAAACCAAGGGTTATTTTAAAAAGAACCAAGAAGCAAACTAAAAAACAGGCCACATGAGTTGGCAGCCAGCCTGGGCTGGATACCAAGCCCCTGTCTCAAAACAAAACAAGAAACCCCACAAAACTAAACAGCAACAACATCTTAGTTTGCTCTCTATCGCATGGTGAGCTCCATGACCAAAACGACTTGGGTAGGGAAGGCTTTCTTTCAGCTTACATGAAGGGAGGCAGAGGCAGGAGCGGAAGCAGAGCTCTTAGGGGCACTCTGCATACTGACTTGCTCCTCCAGGCTTGCTCAGCCTGTTTTCTTATGGACTCAGGCCCACCTGCGCGGGGTGGCAATGCTCACAGTGGGCTGGGCCATAATGGAGGCTGTACAGACACCTGCACTCCAGTGCACATCCACACATGCAAACACACACATGTCAATAAACAATAAATCTAAAAGCCAAACCAAAACAACAGAGCCTGCTTACTCATGTCTCTGATCCTAACACTCTGGAGGCAGAGGTAGCAAGCAGTTCTCTGAGTTTGGGGTCAGCCTGGTCTACATAGTGAGGTTGTCTCAAGGAATAAAAAGTAAACAACCATTTAAAAAAAAAACAAAACAAAAAGCAATGTTGGGAACTGGAGCTGGGTGTGGTGGTACCTACCTGTAACCCCCAACCACTCAGTGTGTTGAGACAGAGGAGCTGAAGTTTGGGCCAGTCTGGGCTACCTAGTGAGATTCCTAATTTAGAACCAAAACAGGCAGAATAAAATAAGAAGAGGGGCTGGAGAGATGGCTCAGTGATTAAGAGCATTGCCTGCTCTTCCAAAGGTCCTGAGTTCAATTCCCAGCAACCACATGGTGGCTCACAACCATCTGTAATGAGGTCTGGTGCCCTCTTCTGGCCTGCAGGCATACACACAGACAGAACAATGTATACATAATAAGTAAATAAATAAATATTAAAAAAAATAAAATAAAAAGATAGTTGGGAGAAGAGTCCTAGAGAAGAGGAGGCTGGGGTAGGGAACTGACAGCAGAGTGGGATTCTCCCTGTCTTGTGGTCCTACCTCCACCTGTCAAGCAGGATAATTGGGACACCATTTCCTTTGCAAGTCTCAGCTTCCCCAGCTGGCCCAAGGGGAGTAGAGGTCACCCTATCCCACACAATGTATCTTTTATTTTCTTCAACTTTGAGAGGCAGGATCTCACTTGGTAGCCCAAATTGGCCTTGAACGTGTGACGATCCTCCTGCCTCAGGCAGCCAAGTGCTGGGATTATAGGCCTGTGCCATCACGTCTACCTACGTGTCTTCATATAAAAGGCCTCTTGTGGACAGAGATGCGTGTTAACTGGTTTTCTTGGTCCTGGTGCCTGGCTTATATTTTGGTAGGGAGATTCACAGTGTAATAACGCATTCCGTTGCTTCCATAGACTCCAGCTCTCCTGTGGGCTACGTGCTCGGGGTTGATCTTCTTCACATATTCCCTCTGGAAGGAGCAACTTTCCTATGCCCTGCTGATGTGACTGACCCCAAAACTTGCCAGAGAATTTTAGAACTGCTTCCCAGAAGGAGAGCGGACGTGATTCTCAGTGACATGGCACCCAACGCCACGGGGATCCGAGACCTCGATCACGACAGGCTCATCAGCTTGTGCCTGACCCTTGTGGGCATGGCTGCGAATATCCTGCATCCCGGGGGAACACTGCTGTGCAAAACCTGGGCTGGAAGTAAAAGTCACCTGCTACAGAAGAGACTGACCCAGGAATTCCAGAATACGAGGGTCGTGAAACCAGAGGCCAGCAGGAAGGAGTCTTCAGAGGTGTATCTCTTAGCCACGCAGTACCGGGGAGGGAAGGGCTCCACGGAGCAGTGAGTCTGCCCTGCCCTCTGGGGGTGCTTTCCTGAGAGTGTCTGGGATCGGAACTGTATTGTGGATGTGGACAGCACCCCACTAGGCACCTCTTGAGTTTTAAAGAGATGAAAAAAATGTATTTGAGGTTGGTGAAAAATGATAAAAGTGGGGCCAGCACGGTGGCTCAGTGAGTAACGGTGCCTGTACTGAGCCTGATACCCTGAGTGTGCTCTCCAGGACCCCCACAGTGGGAAGAGAGAGCCAGCTCCCGAAAGTTGTCCCCTCACCCCCACGTGCACATACACGAGCAGATGTTTCAGGATGGTTTCTGTCAATTTGACATTTCTTTCTGGGAAGAAAGAATCCAGCTGAAGAACCGCCTCCATCAGATTGGCCTGTGGGCAAATCTGTGAGAGGAGTCGTTTTCTTGATTAATGATTGACGTGGGAGGAGGGCCCAGCCCAATAGGAGCAGCGCCACCCCTGGGCAGGTAGTCCTGAGTTGTGTAAGAAAGCAAGGCGAGCAAGACACAAAGAAGGAGCCAGTCAGCAGGGGTCCTCCGTGGCCTTCAATTACCGCCTCCAGGTTCCTGCCTTGAGTATTGCCTTGACTTTCTTCAATGATCAGTTAGACTGGGATGAGGAAGTCAAGTAAACCCTTTCCTCCCAAGGTTGCTTTTAGGAAACAAGACTAAACAGTCTTCTATATCATGATTTTATCCTTCTGACTTTTTATTTTTTAATTCGTTTTTGAGATTGGGTTTCACTCTGTAGCCTGAGCTGGCTATGAGCTCACAATCCTCCTGCCTCACCTCCCAAGGGCTGGGATTACAAGTGGATATTGCCACACCTGGTTCATGATGTGTTTGAAGAGAGTTTTGACAAAGACAGATGGAGATTGAAGGCTATAAAAGGGAGGGGACAAAAGCTGGGTGGTGGCCTTTAATTCCAGCTCTCTGGAGGCAGAGGCAGGTGGGTCTCTGCGAGTTCAAGGTCAGTCTGGTCTACAGAGTGAATTCCAGGACAGCCAGGGCTACACAGAGAAACCCCACGTCAAAAAAAGAACCAAACAAAACAAGAAACCCAAAACTTGGAGGGGCAGGAGAGAGAGATCTGAGGTGAAGTGTTGTTCCTCCAGAGGACCCAGGTTCTCAGCACTCACATGGCAGCTCACAACCATTAGTAACCTGAGCCCTTGGGATCTGACGCCCTCTTCTGGCCCCCATGGGTACTGTACTAATGTGCACAGACACCCATACACAAATTCAAAACAAAAGCAAAAATCATGGAAAGAGCCACCTCTTTGTAGAGCCAGAGAGAGGATGTGGCAGTTGTGTCTGCACCGCTGTCAGCGGTTCCTCGTGCTGTGAAGGCCTCTGCACTAACCGCAGTGGCCTGCTGGGCCATCCAGGGAAGGACTGCTCTGGCCCGGGTGCAAATGGCCGCCAGAGGTCTCAAAGGCTTTTCACGGGCAAATGTCTGCCCCGGGTGTTTGAAACAGTCGGGACATTTGAAGCCGGACTCAGGTGCCAGGCAGCTGCGGTTGCTGTGTGGCTCCCTCGGTGGATCTGTGGAGGGTCACAGAGGAGGGCGCCTACACCAGAGAGGGAGGATGCAAAACATGGCTTTCACCTCAGAGCGGGTAAGAGAGAGTTTATCCTGGAGCCCAGACTGAGTGACCGTGGCTCAGGAACACACATTTCGGCCACTCTGCGTCCCATGTTCCAGCAGTATACTAGTTTGTTTAAGTTTTTATAGTAGCAGAAGAAAATTCTAGATCAAGCACTTTTTTTTTCTTTTCTTTTTGAGACAGTTCTCTGTGTAGCCCTGGCTGTCCTGGAACTCACTCTGTAGACCAGGCTAGCCTCAAACTCAGAGATTTGCCTGCCTCTGCCTCCCAAACGCTGGGAGCCCAAACCAAAAGGTGGGCACCACCACCACCCAGCAATCAAGGCACCTTCCAAACACACTGGAAACATTAAGTAGTCGGCTACAGCCAAGCAGAGACATCTCTGCTGTACACCTCAGATGTTCCCTGATGGTATTTAGCCTTTTAGCTGGAGGATATTAAAGGTGTTTAGGATAATGCATCCCAAAGGTTTTATCTGTTACAGGATGTTAGGTCTGACACAGAGGTGGGCAGGGGATGACTGTTTAGGGAGGCTGAACAGTCAGAGTAAGTTTTAATTAGGCTCCAGACCTGCCACCTCCCAACCTTCCCCAAGCATTGAAGCTCTAATCGGTCCATCAGCACAGCAGAAGGTTCAGTTGAAGACAGAAAAGCTTTCTGCAGACTTTCTTAAAATTACACTGTTGAGCCTGGGGTGGTGGTAATGCTTTTAATCCCAGCACTGGACAGGTAGATTTCCAGGATAGTTAGGGTTACACTAAGAAACCCCATCCTGAAAAACAACAAAAGACACACTGCACTGGCATCAGAGATGCACTGTTTACACTGTTACCTATAAGGGTCCAACATCAAGGATGGGAGAGATGCTGCCATCAGTTAGGGTTGACCTGCCTCGAGGGAAGGAGCCCTAGAGCTCTTCTGGCAAGCAGAACCCTGGGGTAGCCCAGTTTGGATTTCCAATGGGCACAGGAAAAACTCCAAGACTATAGTACTTCAAGCCAACACTATAGAGCTGGGTGTGTGTTATCACACACCTGTAGTACAAATGATGTGGGAGGTTAAGATAGGATAATCATGAGTTCAAGGCCAGGCTAGGGAACTTAACAAAACCCTGTGGAATTTAAAAAAGAGTATTTCAGTGGTAGAGCTCTGGCCTAACAAACAAAAACAAGAAACAAAAATCTCAGGCTGAGCATAGTGTGGCTCATGTCTTTAATCCCAGCACTAGTGAGGCAGAGGTAAGAGAATCTGTAAATTTGAGGCCATCCTGGTCTACAGAGGGAGTTCCAGAACAGCCAGGGTGAGACCATCTTGAAGAAAACCAAAGCCAACCAAACAATAATAAAACCAAATCTCACCCAAACAGAACACCTGTAGTCGGACTTTTTCTGTCCCACCAGCCAGCTCACCTAAAATCCTTCAGAGACTTCATATTAATTATAAAAGCTCATCTGATAGCTTAGGCTTGTTTCTAACTAGCATTTACAACTTAACCCATTTTTATTAACTTATTCTCTGCCTTGTGGCTTTCTTACCTTTACTTTGCTCTCCCCATGCTGCTTCCTCTCTGGCAACTCCCTGCCTCTCCAACCTTCTCCTAGTGTCCTCTCTGCCTAGCTATTGGCTATTCAACTTATTAAACCAATCTGAGTGACAAATCTTCACAGTGTACTAAAAGATTATTCTACAGCAAACCCCAGCTGGGCATGGTGGCACATGCTTGTCATCTCAGTGTTGAGATTTATTGTCCCAGACTGTGTCCCAACAAACCAGGTTTGGCCACTTGTCCTCAATATTTTTTTTTAAAATATCTATTTATTATATTATGTGTATAGCATTCCTTCCACGTGTGCCTGCAAGCCAGAAGGGGGCGCCAGATCTCATTATAGATGGCTATAAGCCACCATGTGGTTGCTGGGAATTGAACTCAGGACCTCTGGAAGAGCAGTCAGTGCTCTTTACCTCTGAGCCATCTCTCCAGCCCTGTCCTCAATATTTAAAAAGAGACAAATTTATAGCAAATCAGAAAAAGGAGATTTATTTAATGTGGCCACAATGGGAAGAAGGACATAGAGTTAGGCTATCCCCAAGAACCAACTTCAGGGGCCTGACACTGACGTAGGGTGAGGGTTTTAAACAGAAGGCAAGAGGTCTGCTCCAGGAAGCTGTCTGGCCTGGGTGTGGTCAGTCCCATCTTTGTCTCAGATCTAAGGCTTTCCTCACCTTCAGATGACAAACTCTAAATCATTTTTGTGGAGATAAGTTCTTCCTATGGCTGCCCCAAGGCTTCAGTCTTTTCTTCTCCTGGGAGGATATCCTTAGGAGGAATCTAATATCTTGGGGTCCTTTGTCTCAAGAATCTGATAACCAAAGAGGCAGGCCAGTTTCAGCAGCACTAAGGAGGCTGGGGGTTCCAGTCCCACCTGGGCTACATACACAGTGAGGTTGAGGCTAGCCTGGGCTACAGGGTAAAATTCTGTTTTTCAGGTGTTGGGGTGAGAGATAGTTTATTTTTATTTTATTTATTTATTTGAGACAGGGTTTCTCTGTCTAACAACCTCGGCTGTCCTGGAAGTAGCTATGTAAACCAGGCTGGGCTCGAACTCAACAGAGATCTGCCTGCCTTCTGAGTGTCACTACCTCCCGGTTGGTGACGCCTGCCTCTAATCCCAAATCGACATCAGACTGTGGACCCTGGACCCGCACCATTATTGAAGTCAATCAATCCGCCTTCGCAGACACAACTTCTTCCCAGGAATTCTCATTTTCAAAGGAAAGAAAGAGAGAGAAAAATGCTAACCAACCGAAACCCCAAAACATTGCCCGAGACAAAATAACCCATGTTTACATAGTAGCAAGGTTGAGGGAAACGTCAACTTCCCTAAAATTTGATCCCTCCGCAGGCTCTGCTATTTCACACATTATTGAGCACTCAGTAGCGGTGGAAGAGTGCCTTGTGGGCCAGTGGGACACCCTGGCTCAGCTTTGGTTGCAGGTCCCTAGGCAGGACGCCGAGGATATAGAACTGTCTGTCCTCAGGCGAACCAACATCTGGTCAAGCCCGTGGGCGCACTTACTCTATGCTTTACGGGCCGCTTTCTCGGATCTCGCGAGACTCGAGCGGAAGTCTCGCGAGACATAGGCGCCGGCGGAGAGGAGGGAGATCCGAGCGTCGGCTGCTGCGCCGGACTGCTCTGCTGAGGTTAGTGACAGTGACTGGGTTTGCCTGACTGGTAGCTGCGCGCCCTGCCGGGGACGCAACGAAGCCGTGGGATGGAGATGTCTGTCGCCATCGGGCACGCACACGGCTCGGGTCGGCTCCTGTCGCGCGCCTTCCTTTTGCAGGGTCTCGGGTGTTGCGCTCCCGGGGCCGGAGTGGCTGGTCTCCCATTCCGGTGTCCCACTGTAGGGTGCGGGGAGGCGTGCCTGGACCGGGGGTGGAGGGCGGCGTGGCCTGTGGTCTGAAGGGCTCCCCGGTCGGAGTCGGTTACCTCTTTGCAACCCTGTAGGTCTGGGAGATCGAACTCAACTTGACAGTCTTGGCGGCACGCCC